ATCTTATATCCTTGCTGCGCTGGCGCACCTGGGAGCTTGCTCCCCTAAAATTTAGGGTTTAGGGTTTAGGGGGGTTTAGGGTTTAGGGTTTAGGGCTTAGTGGGGTTTAGGGTTTAGGGTTTAGGGTTTAGGGTTTAGGGCTTAGTGGGGTTTAGGGGGGTTTAGGGTTTAGGGTTTAGGGCCTTGGCATTGCCACCACACCCAAGGCCTGCAGCCTAAACCCCAAACCAATGTAAGAACTGCTGGGGGAATGGCCACTGAGCCCAAGCCATGCAACATATCTTCATGATGCCCAAGCTAATGCTCACACCCCCACGCCTCCGACCCGAGCATGAGGGTGTAGGGCTTACTGTAGGGTTTGGAGCCAATATCTTGGGGAAATGTATCATTCAAGGGTCGCATTGTATTCTTACAGGAAACGACCTTGAGTATGCGCATGCAGCACTGTGCCCTTGAGCTAGAGGCAAGCGGTGGGGCCCCAGAAGCCCAACGCCGTACCCACGATGTTCCTCTATAATTCTATAACCTTCACAAAGACCCAATTCAAATGTCTCACTTCTGCGAACAAGACATTGGCATCTCTACGCCTCTGCATTCCCCAACAAATGCCAGGAATGTTGGGTAGGTAGTTTAGACGCCGGGTTGATGCTCTGCATTGTAGGAGCAACGCCACCAAAAACTCGAACCCTCAATCCTAAACCCATGGACTCCCAACTGCCACATCCCGGACCCCAACCGAATGAGTTGGTACTGTAAGCTTGGGGTACGTCAATACGCGAAAGAATCTGCCGTCCCCTCTCTAACTGCCCTAACTCGCAGCTGTTTAGGGTTGGCCCTAAACCCTAAACCTGGGTAACTATGGAGCTAGATACATGACATACCCTCCATACGAAGGTTTTAGGATTCGGGGGGTAGGGCTTCGGGTTGAAGAGTATACCTCCCTTTGATGCTGCCTAACTCCTAAACCCTAAAACCCTAAACCGCGTACTCCCCCTCAGCTCCTCAAGATTCCCTACATTCTGCAAGTAGCTCCCCGTCAAATACCGGCAGGTCCTTCTGCAGGTCGCTGACCTTCTTGTAGATATGCTCATGCATGATTCGGGGGAACCTGTCCATGGCTGAGGGTTGAGAATTTTAAGGCTCAGGACTTGGGGTCTATATAGGGATAATGGAAAAGAAAATGGGAAACTACTATTAGTGAAACCCTGGCATGGTTCAAATGATTAGGCAGAAATCTTGGGGCACGGTGACTACATGAAAAAAAAGACGTTGTGGATTTGCAGGACTGTTGAAGGAGACTGGGGTACAGCTTCTTAGGAAGCACACCTCCGGGCCCTAAGCCGAACAAAACATGAATTGCTTTTACTGGGTTGCTGCTAAGGAACTTAAATTAAGTTACTATATTGGCGAAATCCTATTATTTACTATATATATACCCATTATGGTAACTTAATTTAAGTTCCTTAACAGCAACCCAGTTCTGGTGCGGGGAACCTCACTGACAGCTCCTTATCGGCCGGGGTCTCCTTCAGAACCTTGTCGATGGCAGCCTGGCCGATACTTGTTTGGGATTCTGCTCCTACTCAGTTGCCTCTAAAACAACGTAGACGAGACCAGTATGTTTTAGTATATCATAGTATATCAGGCATATTATAGTATGTTAGCACATAGTATCGTATAGTATAAGATATTTTTGTAGAGTATAGTATAATATAGCAAATGAAAACAAAAAAAAAAACGCGAACCAGGATGTGAGTTGCACCCAATCAGCGAATGGCTTCGATGCGCTCCTCTTGGCCTACATGACCTAGGGCCTAGGCTGAGTAGACAGAAGGGGTTATATTGGGATAATGGAAAAGAAAATGGAAACTTCTACATTATAATAGGGTATATATTGGGGTTATATTGGGGTCATACAGGGGATAATGGGGCTGAGTAAGCAGAAAATGAACATGGGGGTTTCCCAATATTAGGGGGACCTTTAAGGGGGATATAAGGGCTATATGGGGGTTATATAATGCTTATATAGGGTTTAGGGTTTGGAGCTTGGGGTTTCCCAAAATTAGGAAGACCTGTTTTGGGGTCCATAGTAAGGACTATAATTTTGGGGTCTATATTGGGGTTCTTCTATTTGGGGAATGTACCACATTAAGCCAACCAAGATGCCCCCAGACACGCCTGACGACGCCTGACCCCCCCGGAAACGCCTCAGGTGGAGTTTCTCCTTCACGATCTTATTATAATATACCCAGAGCCATATTCTATCTACTTAAGGGGACTATAGCTTGCCCGACTCTGAGCCCCCCAGGAATTTCCCTGGCCTGCAGCAACCAGAGCCCGCGCGATACTTACGGTCGCAAGCGAAAGATTGCGGGCGCTTGCAGGTGCTGAGACCCCTCAGACCTCCACACCTTCACACGAGAACCCTTCTGCTGCGCGTCTGTGAATACTGATCGACTACTTCTAGTGATATCCCAGAAAAAAGAATGTTAAACAGAGCGCGGGGGCGAATATAAGTACTGTAAAACTGGCATAAATGAGATTTCTGCAGGGATCCACCCCCCTCTGGAGTGCCATAATGTCTACTCTGAAACCTGCGTACCACATCCCGTTGCTTCTGGGCAATGCCTAGCCGCACAGTTTTAAACCCCGAGGACTCCAGAAACTGAACTGCTACGGATTTCGATATGCCATGAGATGCCTATATGTGCGAAGTTGTGTTTGATTCGATTCATAAGCCCCCGAGCTCTCTCTGACAGACCCCGAACCCCAATCCCTAAACCTGATGCCAAAATCTTGAACTCCAAGCCTAAACCCCAGTCCCTGGACACCAATTCAAATCCACATCCCTGCGCCTCAAGGCCTTAACTCTCGCCCCTATACCCTAAACCGCCCCACACCCTTCATACCCCTATGCATACAGCAACCTCACCCGACTTACACACCCTCATGTAATTACCCCTTTTACAGGGACCTTAAGGCGAGTCATCCCCAAACCCGCCCACCTTGGTATCGGCCGGTGCGCTGGAGGCGCTGTTGGCCTCGGAAAGGAACTTGTGGACCTGCGCCACGGTGTCCTTGGAAGATGGTGAGGGGAGGTGAGGGGTTTGGAGTTTAGGTTTTGGGGTTTGAAAGGAAGAATGGTTGCTCAAAGCCTTAGAGTTCATATCGTTCAGGACTAATTACGGATGATGATGCCCTGGGCTGAACAAACCCTTGACCGAAACCGGGCTCAAGGCTAAATTAAGGCGCGGCATTTACCTTCCTATAGCAGCCCTTGCAGGAATCATGGCCGCAGTGCACCGCTGACTAGCGTAGATAGAGTGCTGCAGATTTACGGCCTCCCCACAGACACCCCCAAGGCCATAGATTCTCCAATTGGGAGCTCTCATTTGATCACTTACCCGATCAATATTCCAAAGGCGACAAAACGGGACCCACCCTAACCCATAGCACGACCCTTATCCACCCTCAAAAGGCTTGGCATGAAACGGGACATCTCTAAAACTCCAAACCCTTTTTGGCGCATAGGCTCCTCCGAAAACTTGTAGGCATCCTCCTTGGGTGCGCTGTTGATGGCCTCCTTGCCTGCTTCCTTGGTCAAGGAACGAGCTTTGGGTTCAGCGTCAAGGGCTGAGGGTGCGCTAGGATCCCTAAGCACTATAGTCCCCCTTAAGTAGATAGAATATGGGGTATGTCGGGATCTTATTCTACTTATACCCAAAGCCATATGCTATCTTCTCAAGGGGGACACTATAATCTCTAAACCCTCCCACCCAGCCCATCTCAGCTCCAAAGGGCTGTTGTCAACAGTCCAAGGTGCTCATCATGGCTTACGGTTTCAGGTTGCTTTAGAGTTCTGGGTTGAGAGCTAATGGTTCCTTTGCCCACAACACCCAAAACCCCTACCCTGAAATTGAACATTCCCAGTCTTCCATGGTTCGTGCTACTTGGGCGATATTGAAGATGAAGCTCATTGAAGAGGGTCGGCCAATAACAGCAACCGCAAGGATTGACACCAGAATTATCGGAAGTAATGAGTGTGTCTACTGTGCTCACGTAGGAACTCGCCTTGAACCCTAGGGCCCCCCTTAAGTAGATAGAATATGGCTTGGGTATATTCTAATAAGATCCGCATATACCCCATATTCTATTTACTTAAGGGGGACTATACTCCTAAACCCGAAACCCACCCCAAAAAAAAGGAATCCCCAAAATCCTCAACCACGGGGTAGCTTCCTTTTCTTCTCCATTCTAGAAGCCCTCATAACACGAGAAGCTTGCAACTACTTATAGCGCGATTTTCCCCAACTTGAAAATCTTAAAAGCCACGTTACCCCCCCGAAGCCTTTCAACCCTAAACCCTAAACTCCAAACCTGACATAAACTCTACACCCTAAACCTTAAAGTCTAAACCCTATATAAACTCTAAACCCTAAACCCCCAAACCCCCCTAAACCCCAGGGTGCCTCGTCCTTTCGCAGCTTCATGGACGCGTACATCCAGCGGCGGTCGGCATCGCGGTCGATCCTCGTATCCGGAGTGGCCCAGGGAATGCAGAAGGGGTTTAGGGTTTACGCATGGTTTAGGGGATGCAGGAGGGGTGCCACAAATGACATATGACCCTAATAGTGAAAAAAGGAAAAGGAAAGGGAAACTGAAATGAAAGATGGGATTGCACAGGTTTCCATACATCAGCGGTACCTTTTGAGAGGAGTATAGAACACTTCAGGGGACGAAGGGTGACTCGAGTTTGTTGGAAACACCAGCATGCTTAAACCCTTACACCCTTATCCCTGAACCAGAAATACTTATCCCTATGTACCCTCATATAACCCATCTAACACTTTTAAGTGGACCTCTAAATTCCCTAGGTAGTTCCCTGACCCCGCAGCACAAGAAGTCCCAGAATCTCCACAACGCGTCGCTTCAGGCCGAAGTCGTACGAGACGAGCGCCGCCTAGCTCTACAAAAAGGCCTAGGGTTTGGGGTGACGGGAGGGTTTAGGGTTAGGGGTTTCAAGGAAGCCCTGACGGAACTCCAAATATAACCACTGTGTATACCCACATATGCACACACCAATCTTCCTATACGGGCTCACAAAAAACCAGAATGAAGCTACACCTTATGAATAGAGGCGTATAGCCATCCATGCAGTTATAGCACATTCTTTAACGCGGAAATTTCTTTGCTGGGCTCAAAAGTCTTCAAAAAGGCAAACTACAAATCAACTAGGCTCCGGTCGCGAGGATACGGCTGAAACAGAAGTAATGCAACAATGGCAACAAAGAAGACTGACATCAAAGGGTAATATCAAATGTTGAAACTGGCAGGAGCCAGAGCGGCAATCAGCCTGTTAAAGACTGACAGTAATTATCAGGAAAATCAGAAGACCATGATGGGCAGAACCATTAGAATGGGAAGCCCGAAACCATCAACCCCCATTGTGAGGAGAGCAACCCCCCCAAACTAGTATTGAACACCCCCGCACCCATAAAATTATGTATATGCCTCAATAATGTTGGCGGGCTGTTTAATGCCATTGTGCGAAAAGTACTGGCAGCGGCTGCCTTGTTCTTCAAAGCGTCATAGTCGGGAACCCTCTGGTCCGCCTCCTGCAAGCAGAGAAAACCTAAACCCCAAAACCCCTCAAACCTCCTGGCCTTTCGGGGGCTTCTTTGTGTGGACCGTAGGGTTTTGAAATATATACCGGGGTGGATCCCCTGTTTCCAGAATGACGACTGCTGTAGCCATTTGTATGTGTGGAAAACCCAGACTGCCCGAACGTAAGCCCAGCAGGCAATCACTTCCTGTCCTTCTTGTAATCATCCTTCTCCTTGGCACTTGAGTCAGACTTGCGGTCAAAGGTCTTGGGCGGAGTGGATTTGAGCTAAAGAAATGCACGTTAAAAAAGTGGCTCACGCAGACTTGCACAAGTGGCCTGAACCGCCCGGGTTTCGGGGGACCAAGGCCTAACTGAAAACTGGGCTTTTGACACCGTTTGATTGCTTCCGCGGGACTCCTTGCTACAGGCTGAAGCAAAATAAACAGGCAGTGAACGGCGTCATGATTCAAGCAACGCAAGCAACGTCAGATGCAATGACGACCAATCGTATGGCGGACCTACGAATTGAAAATGGAACTTCCCATTGTATTAGCAATAGAGATAGGAGAGTAGGAGCAAGAGTAGAAACGGAGCAGTAATAGGAGGAGTAGGATTGGGGGTGGGAAGGGGAGTAGTGCTAGTACTTGTATTGGTACTAATACTAGTACTAGTACTCCTCCTCCACCTCCTCGTCGTCGTCGTTTTTTTTCTCATAGCCGTTTTGCTGTTGTTGTCAATTTATCGTCGTTTCGTCGTCGTCATTTTGTCATCAGTTTGTCGTCAATTTATTTCGTGAGTTTGTCCTCATTTTGTCGTCGTCGTCGGAGCCGTCGTCGTCGGAGCCTGCGTCGACGTCCGCGTCGGCGTCGTCGTCTTGCTGTCGTCGTCGTCGCCATGGTTGCAATCGTCGTCGTCGTTTTATCATCGTCGTTTTATCATCGTCGTCGTCATCGTCTTCGTCGCAGCAGCAGCAGCAGCAGCAGTAGTAGCAGTAGTAGCAGTAGTAGCAGTAGTAGCAGTAGTAGTAGTAGTAGTAGTTGTTGTTGTTGTTGTTGCTGTTGTTGTTGTATAGTAGTAGTGTAGTAGTAGTAGTAGTAGTAGTAGTAGTAGTAGGCGGCGCCTCCCCCCCCTAGGGACTACACT